CTTCTATATACCCAGCAGACCCCGCGTGAGCAGCCGCCATGTCGGAGAACAAACTCCGCAGACGTGGGTCCTCCAGGTCTTCCAGACGTCGCCGGCGTAGACGATCTACTCACAGCATGACGTCATCCTACGGCGGGATGGACGAGTGAGTACACTGAATGGAAGTAGTTAAGAATGATGTATTATTAATGCGTACTCACGTACAGATTCACGCTTGCAGGCTCCCGCGCACGAATGCATCCGCATGAAGGGGCGCTGATAAACATTCATACACACACGCGCACACGCTTACACACAAGCGCGCACGCACAGACACACACACACACACACACACACACACACACACACACACACACACACATATACATACATATACATACAGGTACATACTCATACACGCACACATATTTACAAACACACCACCAAAATGAAAAAAATATATTTCAATTTAAAAATAAATGCATCATTTATAAACAGAAACACTGAATCCCAGAACCATTAAAGGACTTCATGTAGCACTTTATTCCAAGCAGATAAGCATCATATGTCCCCCACTATTATCTTTCACAATGCAGTAGAGTAAAGGTCAAATCCAGTCGAAGTTGTCCTAGACGTTGTCGAAGAGAAAAATAGTTGTCTTAGACTTGTGAATGTATTGGACAGTGTCAAATATTAACATTATGATAATGCAAGGGGCGAAGTGAAGTTGTGGTTTGTAGAGGTGATTGTCTTTGAAAGGTGGCCGTGAGAGCATGTTCGTTAAATATCAGTAGTCTAGGTCGCCAACTGTTTAAAAAATGGAGGAATGTAACCTTAAATAAACGTAAAGGGTGAGCCATACCGTAAAACAGTGCTATAACAATCAATGCCCACAACGTTTAAACATAAACGTGTTCAAACATTGTAAACTTTTAAATATGTCAATTTTTCATGCCCCCATTGAAACATATCACATTATTTTCGGAAGCGGGCTTTCATCCTTCCTGACAGGGTAAACCCAGCCTGAGATGGATACAACATCCCAGCAGAAAGATAGATCAAAATACTCGATAAAAATTGTCTCCACTTTGGAATCGAATCCTGGTGTCCTGTATGTCACGGCTAAGTGCCTAACTACTACATTGCAGATTGATGCCGGCATAGTGCACTGTATCCTGAAATAATTCCGATACATACGGTCAATAAAATGCTACTCCTTGGAAACGGATGTATTTGTTGCCTTCTGTAATATTTCTTTGCGTTCCCTTTTTTTGGTTCTTGTTATTTGTGGTGGTAGTTGCGGTTTTGTTGTTTGTGATGTTCCATTTTTTCAGGCACGAATCTTTGTACAGTATTTATTGTCACAATCCTCACTAGAAATAAAATAACGAAATAGAAAATAGATTACACTTTTATTTGTCCCAGAAGGGCAATTTGGTTCACAAAGGCAAACATTCATACATAAATACATAATTATAATTACGTAATTGTGTACAAAAATACATTAAAAATACATACATAAATACACAATATTACACAAATACAGAACAGTTTACAACAATGCTACTGTCGGTCGCCACTGTGCAGCGTCCTGTATTTTGAGCTAAGGTTGTCCTGTCTTGCTCAAGGACACAATCCAGTGACCACCCATCTGATCCCCGTTTTCTCAAACTCTCCCTTTCACGTTAAGGAAGATGCGGACACATGTCCTACAGCAGACCAACGGATTTGTATATTTGATAGCATGCATGTTTTTGTCTGCCTTTATAAGTTCCAGATTTATAAAGAAAACGTAAAGGAAAAATTTGTATGAGCAACGACATGATTTAAGTGCCCCAAAACAGAGCGTCCCTCAAGAGTTAAAACATTACAGAGATGACATCTTTGTTCAGTGCCCATTTTCATAACCATCTGTGGAATGGATTTTCTCTTGAGTGATGTTCCTAAACTCTCCCGTTCAAACACAACAGAGATGACGAGATGCTGAAAATGTTCGACAACGACGAAGACGAAGACGACATCGAGATCAATAACAACCACAACGACGATGAAGGCGACGACGATGAGAATAACGGAGATGGCGAGAAGGACAGAATTGCCGAAGAACTGGACGCCAGAAGACGGAAGTTGGAAGAAGCGCTCAAGGAAGAAATGCTTCTGCAGAAGATTGAGCAATGCAAAAGTCTCATAGAAAGCGTCAAGCAGCAGGTATGGTTTGTTTCGTATTACTTACGTGCAATAATTATAATTTTGCCTGCCGCTTATACCATGAGAGTGAACTAAACTGTGTCGACAGGGGTGTAAGGACACCTGCACTACTTTTTCTTATATACTATTAGGATTATTAATTTGTGTCGATGGGTTGAAGAAGCTTCTACCTTAAAAAATGTTGAGGTTGATCTAACTGTGTCGATTACTTTACTTTTATCCGCCGCTTATGAAAGAGAGAAACTGTGTCGATGGGAGCGTAAAATACCTACATTTTGAACGCCATGATGTGTCACGAGGAGATAAAGTTTGGAGCCAGAAACCGCAAGCATTTAAAACTGTTTTCAATAAGAAAAGGAACTTGGAAGTGGTGCGTGCTTTTATCCGATTGACCGGCTAAGTGTGATAATAGCATAACTAGGGAGGGCCAAACTAGCTGCTAAACCATCAGAGGTCACAGTTGTTTTTCCTGAAACTATTTTAAGTATATGACAATTTAGCAGCTCCAGACCTCACATACTACCAATACTTACAGAATGCATCGAATCTCAATTTACAATTACAAATCTACACCCAGCAGGTCAATATCAATAAAGTGCAGCATCAAAACTTTTGTAAGTTGCTGGCATTCACTGTTTGCTCAGTTGACATCCTACTGGACAGCACTGATGATAAACTGAGTCCGAATCTATAGTTGGGGGAGAGGGGGCACATCATTCCCCTAAATCCCGAACAAATGAACCCTCTACACCCTGTTCCACACCTTACCAAACCCCCAACCATTCCCTTACCCCGACCTTCCCAACACTTTACCGACCCCTTAACCCTCAAATTCCATCCTGTTTCCTATCCCCCCGACCCCTCCAATCCCCAAGCCTCCACTTATCCACCCCATCAACCTCCCTATCTCCTGAAAATCTCTCGCGACGCCCTTGCCCCCGCATTCCACAGTTCACCCACAAAATGCACTATAATATTTGGAATAGCACGAACTCAAGGTACATAGATATTCCGTAACATCAAAAATAAGTAAATTAATTTGTTTATTTCATGGGTTTGTACATTTGCATACGCCATGCCTAATCACATGAGCTTAATTCCAATTGACTACACTTTGCGACATAACTATTGTAGTATTGGCACAAATTGATAGAAAACAATCTATTCAATAATACGTAAGCAGTGTGTCAACTTTTCATTTACGGACCTCTTTCTTGCATTTGTAAAGGGTTTTATTTTTAATTACTAAAGGTAGGTAGTTAGTTTTTCTTCACTTTATCCACCAAGTTCGAGTGGCTGAGGGTAAAATTTAAAAAGAGTTTGATAATGTGAAAAAGGGGGGGGGGGCAGTGTTTTGTAAACACAAAGGTCGTCTCCGCGAGATCAACTCACTATTGCTTACATTATGGGGTCAATAATGTTGGTGGAGATGGGACAATGAATCAACAAAACCTCTTCATTTAAAAAAAAAGTAGCCTTCAATTAAATGTTGTCTTCCTTCCTTCTTCTCGTTCATCTTTAAATGGACATCCTGGTTTTAAACGCGAAAGTTGCTGTTCGACGCAAGTCCTCCAGACCCCCATAGAGCTTTGGATCTCTCTGCCTGGGGTCGGACCAATATTTCTTTCCAAGTGTCTGTTTTATGCCTATTAACTGAGATTAAATGAAACGCAGGAATGCACTCTTAATCCTACACCTGCCCCATTACTCAATTCTCTGACCTGGCAGGGATAGGGGTTTAAAGTAGTTAACGTAGGCGCTGACTAAGAAAAAAAATTGACAATGTGACATCCAACCCTCAGATGATAATAATAATAATTAATTGCATTTTCGAATTTTTAAGTACGTCATCGAATTCTGAAGAACTCATCAATCCTTTAGAGAGCGTAAAACTTGCTGACAGGCGCACGTGGTAGCGGTTGTAGGTTCTTCGCTGTTGTACGAAGAAGGCGTGAATCTAATTACGGAATTAGGAAGATTTTTTTTTTTAAATTAGGAAGTCGAGCATCTTCCTCAGTCTGCAGGGAAACTGTATCCCATTCAGTCCTTGTTGGCCACGACAGTCAGCGTCGAAGTAGTCCCCTCCAAAATTGCCTAAATGATATAGATGGAGGCGTAAAACAATTACAAAACATTTTCAATAAGAACTATTTCCTGCCGAGCACATCCAGCTGTATGCACGGTAATACACATGTATTAAAATGTATCTATGTTAAGATGAAACTTGGTAAAGCACGTAGAGCTATACTGCGCGGGAGTGAGCGCTATAGACATTATCTGTATGATGATGATGATGATGATGATGATGATGATGATGATGATGATGATGATGATGATGATGATGATGATGATGATGATGATGATGATGATGATGATATT